TGTGGATTTTGGTATGAGCGGGTGTGGGGGTCCTGGAACCATTCCTCCTTGGATACCCTGGGTTGAATATATATAGGTTGTAATTTTTTTCAAACTATATGTCTAGTATCATGGTTTTGAAATTTTCTATCTGGTCCATACTTATACTCTTCCAACAGAATTTAGTCAAATGTTTGTGGGTGAGTATGGGTGTGTGGTGCAAAGGCTGATAATGAAGTAAATTGTGACAAGGAATTAAAAATGAGAGTTGCCTTGGGCTTTCTGCGGAGACACCTTCTATATATGTGGTTTTACCTCAAACATGATATTTTACTCTGTGCTTCTTTAGATTATATCTGAATGTTTTTGAAATTTATTTCTCTGTCTTGTTCTTAAAGTACAATGTACAATTTCAAGTTCCCTAAAAAGATTACTCATTTGGAGAGGAAATATTATATTCTGTGTAGAAACAGACTTCTTACAATGCCTCTGTCCCAGGGAGAAGTCACAAGCATGTGAATGGCCTACTTTCTCCATACCAAGAAATTGATTTTCCCTTTGTTTCTAAGGAAAATCATTTTGAAGGTACTCACCTCTATATGATCAATGGCACTATAAAAACACTTTGGGGCTTCAGGAGGGTGAATACTAGTTTAAAAATTACTTATTCCATGCAGTTTAATTTTATTCCCTTAAAGATACATTCAGTTTTGGAATGCCACTTCTCCTTATTGTTTCCTTAGCTTAATCCACATGAATGTTTCCTCATACAATCTAATGCTCACCAAGCAGGAAAGAAGACAGCACTAAATTATATTTTTAGCTTTGATTCACCTTACTCTTAGTCTTATATGTATTTTCTGGACCTGCCAAGTGTAAACTAGGAATTTATTTCTTGATTTATATCATTTACTCCTTTACTGTCTAGCAGAACTTACATTTTAATGCCTGGGAATTGGAGAAACAATTGAGTGGGATGGTGAGTCTATCAAGATATTTGCTTAAGACTCTTAAAAGAAGCCTACACATGGATGTCTTGGAACCAGATTTTAAGTGAACAAAGTGAAAACCTGTTTCTCTCGTGTGGTTATTTCAGGCTTTCTATTTTTAAAGTAACCTTCACATATGGTACCTCCATATAAATCTAAATATATTCTATATTGGTATAAGCATGATTTGAGCTTTCTTTTCATGATACATCACAGTGATGAATTCAAGCTTAATTCTACTGGCTTTTCATATTATTTTAGTATGAAGGGGTTACTGTATCCTAACAGAATTGCTATGTCATGTTAATGTACATATCTAAACTATATACACTATTACATTTCTAGCACATTGTATTAATTATGGAAGTCACTTTCATTTCAATAGTTGAATTTACATGACAACAGATTCTGGAGCTCAGTGGAGCATCAGACATGCATGTCACAGAATTCCCTTGTAGTGTGGGCGTTGACAGGGTTCTGTTGACATCAAATTTGCAATGAAAATGTCTCATAAATGTGCATCCACATAGAACAGTCCTTAGAAGAGATCATCTCAATATTCACATAGGTCATTAGTATCAGAGAAGGAAAATTTCCACACACTTCCATTAGTAAAATAAATTATTAGGAATATATAACCATACACATATATATAAATCACCTATAAAATGTGTCTTAAACATTTAGAAAAGCTATCCAGATATAGAACTGTCAATTTTGTGTTCTCTCCTGTACCTGTATAAAGCTTTTGTATTCTACAACTCCTACATAAATGTTGGGTGAAGACTCTAAATCAGGCAAGAGAATGGACTGGTCCAGAGGGGTTATAATGGGAAGTAAGTAACAAGATAAAACAGAACCAGGGGAAAATCAGGCTGACTATCACAACAAAGTTCTTAACAGGGAGAACTATTAGACTGTGAAATAGTCTTTCAAAGATGCTGGAAGAAGTCATTACTTGAGACATTTAAAATCAGACTGGACTGAAGTACTCTAAAATACAACATGCTATGCTATGGGGACCAAGCCTACATTAGAAGTGGAAGGACAGGGATGACCTAATAGTTTCTACCGTCTCTGTGATTACGGTGATTGTACTCATTTTATGGGTTCAGTCTTGGTGGGTAATCTTCTATCATTTTATGCTACTTCTTGGGAGCAATTTCAACATATTCATCTAATGCATAAGTGGATGAATTTAGCAGAATCTCAGAAGGGATGAAAATGCACAATAAACTCAGTGTAAGACAGCAAAGTGAGACAACTATGAGTAAACACCACTCCTTTTTTGAGGAGTAACCCCTGGAGAAAACAATTCTCACCCTGGAACTCTGGCCACATTCCAACATGCATAAACATCCTGTCCTCCTCGTTCTCAATGGAGATTAGGTATTAATTTTTATGTCTTTTGTCTAATAGTATCTTGGGATGATTTTGAGCGCAGGGCAACAAATTCAAACATTTCATCCCCAAGCCAATGGCCTACATTTTGGCAGGAGGTAGCTAGGAGCCTGAAAAAACATCATGCACCATTTTGAGACTGATACCTACTAGAAGAATAGATAAGAAAGAGAAAATGGTTTAATTTGGAAAAAAGAGTTTGACATGAAATAATAAAGAGGAGAAGGTACCTAAGAAAGTTGTAAAAATGTTATGCTGGGAATATTTCACAATAAGACCCCCCTCAATCCTGTGCAGTTCTGGTTGATCACCAGTCATGAAGTAGAGAACTGAGACAGGTGACTTTTTGACAATTACCCTAGTTCTTTCATTCACTAAAAATATTAATTTAAATTTCATTAAAAATAAAAATCATTCAATTTTATGTATCTTTGCATTGTTCAACTTACCAATTTTAATTGCAGTGACATAAAATCAAAGATGGGCTCATTTTGATGTTTGGTAATTCTGGGGTAAATCATCTGACTTACACTTGTTTCTTTTCATGTGTACACCACAACTTTTAAAAAAGACCTTCATACACAAATGAATGAATCATAGAACATATTTTAATTATTTCTAATATTTTCTGTTTATGTAGCTTTCCATACATTTTCTCAAGTTATTGATCATATATTCCTGAAGTGTGAAAACTACCATTCAATTTTAACAGAGAGGTGCCTGTCTCTCCTAAGTCCTCAAATTTAACCCATTCCTTGTGTTGGCATAATTTTCTATGATTTAGGTTTCACATTTCATTGGCAAGGATCTATCTCATAGAACAGAGGTTTTATACTTAGAATTTTTTTTTTTTTTTTTGGTGGGGAGAGTGAGAGTTTATCAATACCAAAAGGTATTCCTACCACTTATCCTTCTTTGTAGTCCAATGAATGTGGATAGTCTGAAATTTTCATTGTTTTATTTTTGAAAATATAAGCTTCAAGACTTATCCTCAGTTTCCAACCTGAGCACCTGTGTTACTCTGAGCATAAATCAAGACAGCCTTAGGGCATGTCTATTCAGAATAACATGTACTCCTGCTGGCTGATCAGAACCTGGAAGGATGGCCAGCTAAAACCTACAGATGTGAGAGAGATTTGTAAATACAAGGTAGTGCCATTATGAAATATGGGAAATATCACTTTATTAAGGTCTGGTGTGCAATAGCTTCCAAAATCTATTCAAATTCTATTGGGCTGTTTTGAGAAAAAATGTGCATAGCACTATAGAATCATTAACTAATAACTGGAGTGTCCTAAACACCTGTGGTAGGAACTGTAATTCACAGGAGTTTAGGGTAATGGCAATAGAAATGTTTTGTCACACTTATATTAAATATATTTACACCAAGAATTAGAATTCAGGTAGCAGCCTTAAAATATGTGATCAGATAAACCAAAGTAGACAGATTTAGGTAAGTGAATAACATTTCTCTACAAAGAGACGCCTTTTTCCTCCAAAGAGACACAATATGGCTCTGCTGAGCAGTTTCAAAATCAAGCAGCACAAATGATTTTAAGCAGAGAGATGAAAGTAATAAACTATTGCCGAGGTCCTTAACTTACACTAACCTCACCTCACATTATCCTCAACTCTGAAGATACCGATATGTAACTCTCTCTATACATCACACACATCACTATTCAAGTAATAGTAGAAATATTTTATTAGTAAATTAGCTGAGCGCTTGACCCCAGATTATTAGAAGTGTACAGTTTTATTATTTGTTATCAAAATTTACAATACTTTAAAATACTTAAAAGGTAAGGGCATGTTCCCTTAAGAAATCAACCTAAAGTGCTATACTTAAGATAATCTTTCACATTTAACCCAGGGAAGGAACTAGAAGGAAATCTAAATGAAATCCTTAAGAAACAGCTTATTGGATATATTACCTAGTCTATTTCTGGATCGCGAATCTCCCGCCCTCACTGTCAGATAAGAAAATGGAACAGGATCAATGAAGAGAGATGCTCCCAGTCTGGGTTTTCGATTTTTCACTCAAGCCGAAAGGAGCAAAGGGCATCGAGTTCGGGCTCCTTTCCAAGCGTGCTTGCAGGAGAGCAAACCTCTGGCTGCCTCTGGCTGCAGAGCGTATCCAGGCTGCAATACGGACCAGGTCTCGCTGTCCTCTGCCCCCCTCTCTTGGCAACCTCCACACCCACATGAAACTGCCAGTGTGGCAGCCAGTCATCACAAGGTTTCCTGTGCACAAAGCCTAAGGAGCCCCCGAATAGAAAGGCATCCTGAGCCCAGAGCAGGGCTGGAGGTGGTCGGCTAATGAAATTGGTCTCTCTGGGGGTCTGCGAGTGCTAGTTAGTCCCTCCACCTCTAGCACTCTAGCCATAGATCTGTGCCCTGAAATCTGCCTCCCTCTCAGAGACACAGACGTGCGCGCACACACACAAACTCTCACTCACGCACACCCACATCGCCTCTGCCCCCCACTCTCCCCACCCCCGGCAGAACTGTAGGGACTGGTCCTTGCTCTGCCTCAACTTTCCCTGCTGCGCCTGCCCCACGCGGCACCCGATCCGCCGCGCCCTCGCTGGGCGCCCTCCAGAGGGACACGTCCTCCTCTGGGCCCCTTACCTCGCACCGACAACTCCGGGCAGGGACTGGAGCTGACCGAGGTGGCGGCGGCGGCGGCGGCTGAGCCTGCACCCGGGCTCGCTCTCATGGTTGGTGCTCCTCATCCGACACAAAAGAGGTAGCTTGCTGGCTTTGTCCTTTCCAAATCCCAGGGAGAACTTATTTTGCCCCCGAAATGGCCAACTTGTGTGCGCCGCTTCCTGTCACAGTGCCCTCTGCCCCCGCCCCCTCCCGGCTGCTCGCTGGACCACGGCCCGGTGGCAGAGCATCCAGGCCTCCGAGTCAGTGAGGAGTGGGGAAAGGGAGAGGGGGAGGAGAAGTGAGGGGGGAGGTTGGGAAAAGGGGGCACCCAGTGGTCTTCCGCGGAAGAGAGGAGGGCAGTTCACAGCTGAATCTTTCTCCTCTTTACAGGCAAAGCCACTTAGGGCGCGGAAGCAACTTTCCTTCACCTTGGCCAGGCTGAAACCATCGCATCTAATTGGGACTCTCGGCAGAGGCACGGACCTTCTGGCATTCTCTCCTCATTCTCTCTTTCTCCTTTTCTCCCTCTCTCGTTCTCCTTTTCCCTTTTCCCCTCCCCCTCCCTCCCTCCCTTTATAGGGGTGTATCCGCAGAGTCTTCAGTGAGCCAGGGTACCTAGACGAGAGGATTATTATACAGAAAGGCAGGGCGGTTTTACTGGCTGCTTCGTCTCACTCTGTTGAAATCCTTAGGCAACGCATGCAAAGGTTGGTGAATTTCAGAGGGGTGGGGTGAAGGGGCGTGGGTCGGCAGGGAGATTGGCGGCTGTAACTTTGAAGCTTTGCTAGAGCTCTTGGCCAGCGGGAGAGAGGGGACTAACGGTGGGCCCTGGAAGAACTCTCCTTGGTCCCCGTGCAACGGGCTGACCGCATGTTGGATGAGAAAGGGGGAGCCGAAGCCAGAAAGGGAGCGAGAGAGCCTGGGAGGCCGGTGTTCAGCTCTGCCCCACACGCCGCTCAACTACACATTGCGAGGCCCTGGAGAGGGCTTGTGCAGAACAATCTCTGAGTAGGGCGGGAGGGAGACGCTCCTGTTTCCTAGCAACTCTCATCAATCTTCTCGGGATAGCTCCCTCTGAAGGAATTCGATTGGACAGTCCCTGGAGGGAAGCCACGCCTCTTCAAGAATGCTGTGCTGCCGCTTTTTCGCATTCTCCCAAATTTCTTGGGTGGAATAAGATTAGAGGGGAGTGCTCAATTATCTTCCTTTTCCTTCTATTCTGGCACACCTCCCCCTTGCAGCGACCCCCCTTCCACCCCCGCATTAGCCCTTCTCTAGTCCTATTTGTGGTTAGCACAATGTTCTCTACAGAGCCTCTCCCTTCTTAAAATTAAATAAATAAATAAAACCCTTAAATCGGTGACGTAGGCACAAAAGAGAAAAAGGCACATGGAAATAGCTTTAATAGGCTCTGAGCTGCAGATAAAATCCGAAAGGTAAATTTCCAGGCATCTCTCTTTGTTTAGAAACACGTTGTATTTAATTCAAAATAGAAACTTCACTGTCATTAATTTTTCCACCCTGAGATACTAACTCCGTGATAACCAAGGACTGAATTACATGTAGCCAGAGACAATTAACTTAATGCTTTAATGCTACATTGATTCTTTAATATTTAATGTTAAGTTGTTTAACAACTGCCTTCTTTTGTAGCCTAGCCAGAACATTTCAACTATAAAAATAATTTTACCGCTAATTCTTTTAGAGAGTCAGCAATATTTGGAAGACACGTGCGCTTGTATGTCCCATGGTGAATGCCACTAAAACTAGAAACTTGAGTATATTAAACATTAAAGTGTTATCAAATAGTGAATCTCTAAAAATGCTAGAAGTTCCCCTTCCAACACCATTCTTTCTGGAATACAATAGCAGTGCGAAAACAAACAAACAAAATCACTCTTCCTTTGTATTTCATTACTGCTATCTAATGTGTACTGCTCATCACAAACATATTAGACTTTCTTAAGAGAATTTTCACAATGTCTGTCCAACAGACACCTATACAGCAAGAAGCAATGACATGACAATGGAGAAGATAAAGATCTATACACTGCAAGGGCTTCAGACACACAGGAAGTCTTGTTGGCAGCTTTTGCTTTCTTTAATTGTTCCGGAAGATACCATTTTGCCTTTCTAAGACTTTATCAGAATCAGCTGAGATTGGGAGAAGTAGAAGAGATCTGATATTTTCATCTCATTAAAAAAGAAAATTAGCTGTGTTTGCACACAAAAGCAGCACTGATGTATAGGCTGAGCTGCACCGCGGCAGCACATATGTAGGCTGTTTGACACACTAAGGTTAGTGATGTGTAGAGACTGAAATACTGAAGCAAATTGTCAATCTCTTATCAGATCTGTCCTCATAGGACGCTTTCCCTTTTTCCCCCTGCCATACATGCACAAAGGAATGATGAACGTAAGGGCTTCTCAGCTGGTGGAAGGAAGCATGTTACTTGAATTTGAATCTTTAATTGCTATCACTTCCTAGCTGTGTAACCTTGGGCAAGTTTCTTAATCACATTATATCTCAGTTTCATCATCTGTAAAATGGGAATAATAATTGCTCATCCCTCAGAGTTATTTTGAAGATTAATAAGTACCGTGTAAGCAGCATGCAAGTATTAGTTGTGACAATTAGTCTCTAGTTTATAGTTAACCAATGGTATTTTAATTGTTGAGCCATATATAATATTTAATTGAAGGCAATTAGTCTTGTACTTTAATTCTTCCTTTTTAATTTAATTTAAAGTCATCATTGACTGGGAACATAGCTTTAACTTTTAGTGTTGATTTGTTGGTGTGTGTATGTGTGTGTGCACATACATATGCTTGTTTTCAATTTCCTTTTAAAAGCCTCAAGGCGTAGGACTAAACAACCACTGGCTAAATGGCATGTCAGTTAGGAAATATCTCCCCCCACCTCAAGTATGCTAACTGGGGTCTATTTCTAAACAATTCTTGTCCCCTCTTTAAGTACCTCTGCTATAGCACGTTCATCTTTATCAATACTTTTCAATCAATACTTTTCAAATATTTTATCAAATGCTTTTCAAGTAGGACACACATGTGTTTGGACATCTAGATCACTCTTTCTGGTTCCTATTTTTTATGAGTTTTATTAATTTTTACTAATTCATCTATATTTATTTGAATGAGTAATCATGATATTTCTTCTTAGGACCCTTTCCGGTTAACGCCCTGACTTCTGGTATAATGCCTTTTCATTTTGGCCCAGAAAGCACACCATCCTTCATTCAGAAGTAACACCGAGAGTTGATGTGTTGCCATCATTAATCACAGGTAAATTGCCTTCCACATCCCCATTCTGATCCAGAGTTCACTCTCACTAACATTCCTTTTGGAGCAAATCTCTACTGGCTCAATCCAGAAGTCAATTTCCTTGCTGGTTTCTACTCCAGTAGCAACTATGAAGTTATTTTGATCACATGCAGGGTGTTCAGGTGCCCAGTGTGTCTGGGACAGTTCTAGTTTACATCTATTGTTTGGGTATATTCATAGTGCTCACTTTACTTTTCAAAAGAGTCAGGTTTGGGCATAAAATTATACGGTTACTTGCACCCTCTAATCATCTGGCCAATATCTCTTGCCTCATCTGCCATGTGACTGTTAAATTCCTCTGTATAACTATTTTTCTAGGATAAGACTGATCAATTCTGGAGGCCGAATACATATGTTTCTGTAAATACATAATATACATATAAAATGTTAAAATTTATATTTAATTTGCTTATAAATATCCCTCATCTATTTTTCAACTTGTTTCAAAATATGTTTCCCCTTGGATAATCTGTAAAGTCTAATTCTAATTACAGTTCCACAATATAAAAACAAAAATATGCTACTCTTAGAAGGTCCAAGGCAAGAGGTTCCTTCTATTCCATGTTCTAAGGCAAGAGGTGCCTGATCCTTGGGCTGTATTTGAGTGCAGTATCTTTAAACCACGTGGACTATAAAAGAGTTAAAGTCCAAGGAGCTGAGAGAGGTAGGAAATTTGAGTTTAGAGAGTTTCAGGCATGCTCTAAATATGCAGATGCAGAATGGGGGCGTATGTGCCTTCCCCTTACTTCAATGCTAGTGAGAGGTGCTGCTGCTACAGGGAAACCATTGCTATGCTCCCCTGGAAGTAAGTTGACGTAATAGACTGCTTTTTAATTCACAGCAGAAAAATACAAAATGCAGGAGGTTGTGTGTTGATTGGTCTCCCAGAAGGCTGAAAGAAAAGGAGGCTGCACTTGGCGGGTAACTGCACTCCCACATATGACAGGTAAAAGGAGTTGGTTTCCTATACACCATGTGTGGAGAGAGTGAGCACAGAGTAGGAGATGTGTTTTCTTAGGTCCTAACCAGAAGGGCTTGTTGGAGCAACTTTGGATCCCAGGAGACAGTCTGTGGGGGCACAAGGCTGTGGTAATGCAACTGTGCAGGCTTGTGCTCTGCACAAAAGTGCCTCGTTGTAGAGAGAGAAGGAGCTGCTTGCCCAGTGCTCCTGTGCAGGGCTGCATCAACCTGCTTGGAGGGTGTCTTTTTGTAATTCATCAATCTGGAGGGAGCACTTTCCTAATTCACATACAGGGGGCTAGGAGAAGCCCGTTGATGTAGTACAGATGACCAGGTCCTCGGGGAGTGTAGTAAGTGCCCAGTCACGAAAGCCTCACCAGAATCAGGTCAGACTCTGCAACGAGAGATCTCCATAGCTGAGGGTCTTTAAAGAGTGGACTAAATTTGGATTAGGAAAGTCAGCTTTGAATACCTGCTAAGCCCAGGGAAAAAGGAATGACTAATCAGTTATGGTCAAACAGGACTCTTATCTTGTCCCCCAAACCTTCTATCTCTGACCTCTTCAACTCTGAGGTATCAAAAGCTCCATCTCCTGCTTGAGGTGGAGGGAGGATGAGGATGAGGAGCTGGTTGAGCAGAGAGAAGAGCCTGCCAGGTGCCATTGCCTGGCTGGGGGCAAGAGAAGCTGTAACTCAGAGGGACTTTGGAATTTTGATTATTACTCTGTATTGAACCTAATTCCACCTGAGTCTTTGTCTTTTTTTCTTTTTTATCGCACTAAAGTGAAGGGAGAAATTTTTATTTGGGAAGAATCTGAATGTCAATGCACCAGCCTTGAATAGTACCTAAGGGGATAGAGAAGAACAAGCCCCACAGGCAAGATATGTAGGGGCAATGGTGAGAAAAGAATCAAATTGTTTTTGTGGTGCTTTATTAGCCTCATTTATTAGGTGTATAAATGTTCTGATCAGTACTTTGGATTCTTTCGCGTTTTTTCCCGATTCTTGCAAAGGAAAACAAAAAAGAATAGCCCTTGGATATTTACTATGTGTTTCGCTTTTGTCCCACATATTGTACAATGAACAGCTGAGTTAATTTTGGTTCTAAATTTGAATGTTCAGATATTAAAATACCTATCACCCACAAATATCTTCTTTGGAAGATTTTAATTTTCAATCATTAAATAAATATTAATGAAAAATAAATATTCATAAAATTAGTAGATTCTTTAAAAATACTCTTCACAAGAAATTGAAGTACTTGTTTATTTGTCTTCCCTATTAGACTGGAAGTTTCATGAGGACAGGCACTATGATTATGTTTACCATTATATCCCGGTACTTACAGAAATGATGTGTGTGGAGGGGTGGTGGCTGGGAGGAGAAGACTTGGTCAGTAGACATTTTTTGAGTGAACGAATTAACCTTTAAAGATCAAAAGATTGTACTGACAAAAGATTGTCTTTTTTTTGCTGAAAAATATTCGCCCTGAGCTAACATCTGTTGCCAATCTTCCTTTTTTTGCTTGAGGAAGATTCACCCTGAGCTAACATCTGTGCCAATCTGCATCTCTTTTGTATGTGGGCTGCTGCCATAGCATGGCCGCTGACAAGTGGTATAGATCGACACCTGAGAACTGAAGCTGGGCCACTGAAGTGGAACATGCCAAACTTAACCACTAGCCACAGGGATGGCCCCCTTGACTTATTTTTTTATAGTTGAGTAAATTGAGTGCCGGATATAGCATGTGTTCCCAAATTTCTGTATAGGAGGGTTTTAGAATTGTTAATCTGGTTCATCTACTTTATGAAAGGAGTGGGCGTTTTTGCTATCACTTATCTATCTCAAGTGCCTAAAACTGCCTGACATGTTATTGAGCTCAGCAGGCATCTGATGAACGGAAGGTTAAATGGTTGGAAGACATTCCTAGGCGTTTTGTCTCAATTCTGTACTTTCATAACAAGCAAATTATTTTTACTTTTAGATCTTTTTTAAATAGCTTCTTTTTGAAGGGTGGGGATAATAGAATGTGATGAAGGTTATGAGCATTAAAGGAGAATTCAAGCCTCTTGGCACAGCCCCTGCTTGGAGGAGTTAATTTACACAGATAAGGTATGGTAGAATCACTGCTGTTACTCTGGACTTGTGACTCCAGTCTAAATAAATGATGCAGAGCACAAACACATAAGGAGTTCAGAAGGAGGAAAGCATGTCAACTGAGTTTGCCTTTTCACCTATAAATTGATTCTCAGAGATTTTGGCAAAGGTTTATATTATGCATTTTAGATATGATATCTGTTGGTGTTATTTATTTTGGTCTTACATTGATTATTTCCTTCCTGAGAATTTAAATCTATTTTTTATACCTGGATATGATAACATGTTGATTGGGTCATGCATTAAGTCAGCCATTCAGTTCAGAGCAAGGTCCAATTAGTTATGTATGTTTGTATGTATGAACTCAAGTAACATTCATTGGAAACTATCATGTGCCAAACGCCAAGCTAAGTACCTAGGATACCAAGGAGATAAGATGGAAGGTAGGAACCTTGAAGATTTCTCTTCTGTTATTGGTGAGCAGAAAGGTCGACAAATCATTAAAAATATGGCATGATGGAATATGTAAGAGAGGCCCTTTAAGAAGTAGAGTGACCTAAGGAAGTGGCCACTATGCATTACTCAAAATAAAAATCCTGAGCTCAAAAAGCCTTTGAGTATAATGTCCAAAGTAAGAGCCTACTGTTCCACAAGCACTCCACTTTAAGACTAAAATTTGAAACATACATATGTGAGAAAGGGGAACATATTAGTCAGAAATGCCTTTTGGCTGTACATGACATATAGCCCAACTAACAATGGATTAAACAAACAGTGGTTTTCCAGTTTGTTTATTTTCACGTATGAAGACTATGGAAATAGGCAGGTTTGGTATTGCTTCAGTGACTCATGTTGTCAGAGTCAGCATCTCTGTCTTTTCCTTCATGTTGCAATATTGCTGCTCCAGCTATCACGTCACTCACTCAGGAGTCAGGAAGAAGCAGGATCAGCAGTGTAAGCTATATTTGCCCTGTGTATCAAGAATGCACAATCTTTCTCCAAACCACATAGCATAGTATCATTTCTGTCTAACTGGCCATATCTCTTCATATGATTGCCCCTAGCTGCAAATTAGGTTGGAAAAGTGTGTAATTAGCTTTTTCAGCCTCTGTAAGACATCAAGAAAGAGGGTGAATGTGATTGGCTGTGGGACCAGCCAGCCAACACTGTCTGACTTAGGGAGCAATCTCATTGCTTCCCTCTATTTAAAGCTTTTCTATGCTGGAGATAGTTTCCACTCCATAATTTAAGTGTTAAGTTGAAAGTGGGGTGGCACGAATGGATCTTCTATGGAAGGGAAAATGTTTGGAGTTGACTCACTCCTTGGTCTCTTTCAAACTGTGGCCAAGTGACCCTTTTTGGCCAAGGTCAACTACTGTAGTACCTGTTCTTAATTACATTAATACCTGGCTCCTTCTGTATCTGAAAGCAATATATATCATTTAAAGTTCTTAGGGCATAAAAAGTATGTCTCCTTTTAAAGAAAATACTAAATTGCAATTCAAACTACTTGTATTGATATGTATATGTATAAACTCCAAACACAGATATGCCAGTAGGGCTCCTTGGGAAAATGTCCAGTAATATTAAATGCATTTTAAATGTGCAAAAAAATTATGTGTCGACTTCTGAAGCATGCATGTTACACATTGAGATGCCTCCAGTGTTTCTGTTCTAGGGGATTCATTTAACAGTAAATATTTATTGAGGGCCTACTCCTTGGCAGGTGTTGTGCTATGTCCTGGGTAGGCAAGATAGATTGGTTCAATATAGCTCTTGGTGTTGTGCAGCATATACCAGAGAAAGGCTTTCAATCAATATGGAGCCCTATTTTTAGGAATGTTCCAATCATAGCCCTCATGACTGTGCAAGACGTCACAGCTCTCAGTATTATATTTCAGTTTGTTTTATTCTAATTCACAGTATTCTTCTTTTTTATTTATTTTATCCTGCTACTTTGGAAATATTCTCTTCATTAAAAAGATAAGCAAACAAACAAAAAAACTTTTGTTCCCTATCTCCTTATTTCCTCCTTTAGCGTGTTTGTTTTAACCTTTCCTTCTTTCACATGTTTGAACAATATTTAATAATACATTTATAAAACGAATCCAGTTTTTTGGTGTGAAAGGCAATGTATCCACTAGAGAAATCTTTTCCATAAAGAGAATAAAAGTCCTGAATAATAACATTTTTTTTTCCTCTGATCTGGTGTGAGGACACCTTAAGAAAGAAATGATTCTGGGTGAAGACACCACTAAATGGAAATGTGAAATGGTAAGATTCGCTGTCATTTCTAGGCCAGAATTTAATAAAAGAAATTCGAGTTTTCAGGAAAGGTTTTTTCTCGGGCTAACCATGTTTTGCTTGAATTTTCTTAGCGATTGAGTCAAAACCTTAATTAGGCAATTGTTTCTAATTCTCTGGTTGAATTTGGTAGTGGAGATTCAGTCATTGAGGGCATGTACCTCAATTAGATATAGTGTCAAATTAGTAGTAGCATATGATATAAAAAACGATTCATACTGCCTGAACTAGAATGTCTCAGACTGCAAAGAGGGGTTGGATTAAAGTTCTAGGGGAGATGTTTATTAAAATTATGTGTTAGTTAGTCACAAATCTTTACTTTGAGATTCACTATTTTTCCTAAAGCGTAATTATTTTGATTCTAAAAGTTGTAGAATAACAGTGCTCTTATTAGTTGCAATGATTAGAGTGTATTGAGAGGCGGTCATTCTTTACCTAAGGTATGCAGGGAAGAAAGTACAAGTCCCTTTCTCTGCCCTAAGTGAGTTATTTTTGTTCCTTGGCTTACTCCTCCAATATAATGCTGCTCTCACCCATCCTGACTCTTGCCCATCTGTCCTCGAAGGGTGTGATTTCCTTGACTGATGTTCGAAGAACGTGTATAGATCAGAAATTGCTGAATAAGAACAACAAAAGTCTCACTGAGCAGTGAGCTAGTCCAGTGCTTCTCAAACATTTTTCTGCCCAGAACCCGTGTCAGATGATGTTCCAGCTGGTTGTCATTCTCGAAGGTATATCTAAAGTTATTCTGAATTCTACTGTCAGCTATAAGTCAATTCCTTTTTCTTCCACTGAAGGAGGATATTGGAATGCAGGTGAATAAGAGCGACATTCTTGGAGCACCCTTGGATCCCGTTAGTTTATATAGAAAGTAAAACATTCAAAAGCCTTGTCACTTTATTACAGGATAAGAACTGCTGACCTCTTCCATTGTGTCCCCTCTTGAAGAAATAGCTGTGGTTAATCTGTGGAGTCCACAAAACCTTCCACAGAGGCCCCTCCATATTTACATTATTAACGTTTTTCCTTGGAATAGCACTTTTGGGTTCTCAAAATGTTTTCACTTCTAGATTTTACCAGAACCCTTTGAGTTTAAAAAATCTTTTGTCCGTATTTTCTAGATGAGGAATCCAAGGCTAAAAAAAGTTGAGCGACTTATTCTAGGTCATATAGCAAATGAGTAGGGAAGCTAGAACTTCAATCGAGTGAATTGATTTTTAATGCAGCTTGTCTTCCAATATCCCCCCTGCCTCTCCGTACTTCTTCCTCACTGGACGCTGCTTCTCTACTTCATCCATCCTCACTGCAAGCCACTCCGTGCATATGGGGACTCTACATTTCAATTTTTCCTCATAGCCTAACCTTCGTTCCCTCTCCAAAGTCTGCTGAAGTTTTCTTTTCCACAGGACTTTAATCTTCAGCAGCTTTGCAGTGTATAAAAAGTGTTATCAAATAAATCCACCGTACCAAGAGCTTAACCGGGTAACGATTACCTCTCCCAGGTAAGTTTTAGCTTTAAGGAGTGATACCATTACTGAGTTTCGATACCTTGGAAATCAATGGGGTTATAGACCTATTGTGAATATAATGTTTGGGAATATGGTGATGATAGATCTCTATGTAATCTAAAATTAAATAATCAAGCAAAAATCTTATAAGAATATTTTTGTTAATGTCTGTGATCTCCTCCTGCCCCATGGTCCAATCAACTTTGTAGTAAACTATGGGAAAAGGTACCATGTCCTCTTGTTCAGTGTTCTTTGCCTGCAACCTGGTGCAGTATCTGGAGTATATTTGTTGAATGAATGAACTTCAACAATATTGCCAACAACCTGCTTGATTATAACCATAGAAGGATGATGTAGGATGTATAAAAGTTGATATTGTGATAATGTAATCATAAAAACATGATTTTTTTTTTTGAGGAAGATTAGCCCTGAGCTAACTGCTGCCAATCCTCCTCTTTTTGCTGAGGAAGACTGGTCCTGAGCTGACATCCGTGCTCATCTTCCTCTACTTTATATTTGAGATGCCTACCACAGCATGGTGTGCCAAGCAGTGCCATGGCTGCACCCCGGATCTGAACCGGCGAACCCCAGGCCGCTGAGAAGTGGAACGTGTGCACTTAA